CCCCAAAACCCCAAAACCCCAAAACCCCAAAACCCCAACCAAAACTAATAAAATTGAAAAATAAGATATTTTAAGATATGGAAGAGCTTATTGAAAAAGCACAAGAATTTTTCAACCAGATAGCGCAGAAACCGTTGGAGGTTTATAGAATAGAGCAGTTTGAGCCAAAGCATGTGCCTGAAGAGACCTACGGCCAGTTTTATAATGGAGATTCTTATGTGATAGTCAAGCATAATGAGAAGGAAAATGATTATGATATCCATTACTGGCATGGAGAAAATGCTACCATGGATGAAGAAGCTAGCGCTGCTGCCCTCTCAGTCCAGATTTCTGATCACTTAACTGGTGCTTCAAGACATCACCTTGAATTGCAGGGAGAGGAGTCTCAACTGTTCATGTCTTACTTCAAAGATTCAGCTGTCACCTATTTGCAAGGTGGTGTAGAGAGTGGATTCAAGCAAACCAAATTTAGAGAGCATGTTCCTAGACTTCTCCAAGTCAAGGGAAAGAAGTATCCAAGAGTTTGGACATTTGAGCCAGATGCTAGCATTCTCAATGAAGGAGATGTTTTCATCCTCGATCATGAGTCTAAGCTGTTCTTTTGGCCAGGAACTGAATCTAACGTATCCGAAAGAATGAGATCAATCTCAGTGATTCAGCATATAAAAACTTTTGACTATCTCAGTAAAGCCAAAATATATTATCCAAGGGATGACCAAGAAGCTGAAGCTGAGTTCTGGGAGGCTTTGGGAGGAAAGCCTGATTCAATAAAGCCTGCAGTCACTGATGACCTTGAAGATACTCAAAACAAAGAGTTATTTCACCATAGACTCTTTAGAGTTTGTGAGACCTCTGATAGCTTAGTAGTTGAAGAGGTCGAAGAAAGACCACTCAAAAGATCTCATCTAGAATCAGACAATGTGTTCATTCTTGAATTGGAGAAAGCCATCTATGTTTGGTGTGGTAAAGAAGCCAGCCAGGAAGAAAAGAATAAGGCCTTCAAGACTGCGAGGAGCTTCATCAAAGACAACAACAAGCCAAAAGGAACTTCTGTGGTAAAGGTTCCTGAAAGGAGCGAAGACTCTGTTTTCAAGTCATTCTTCTCAGACTTTTACTGTTTCCAAGCCATCAACTTTGAAAGCGAAGTGTCTGCAACTGACCAGATGGAGGAACTGTACCTAAACAAGCAGATGAGCAATGTTGAGGTTAACATTGGAGTTGCCTCCTTTATCAAAACCTACATTGTTGAAGACGAGAAGCTTGTTGAACTTGATGAAGAAGAAAACGGTATCTTCTATGAAAACAACGTCTACGTAATCGACGTCAAAGATTCTTCAGAAAGAAGGTATCTCTATCTCTGGGTGGGCACAAAAAAGACTCTCCATGAATTCCAGCACTGTGAAAAGTACTTTGGTGAACTCACTGAAAACTCTATTGGAGATGATACAGTCAGAGTAAGAATGAGAAAAGGTAAAGAGTCTTCCAAGTTCCTTGCTCTCTTTGAAAGAGGAGTCGTAATTCAAGAAGGTGGTCGGAATGAAGAAAATGTCAACAAGCAGATCTACTGTATCTATTCTCCTTTTGGTAAGGAGCCAAAGGCAATTGAGTTAAATACATTTGATAATCTGTACCTGAACTCTGGAAATGTCTACTACCTCATCACTCCTGACAACACTAAGTTGTACAAATGGATCGGGAATGGAAGTAACGATAAGGAAAAAGAATTTGCACCAAAGATATTGCTCGAAGGAAAAGAGGTAATCGAAACGAATGAAGGAGAAGAGACCGAAGAATTCTGGCAGACCTTCTTTGACCAAGACACAAAGCCTGAAGGGCTTTGTGTCTATCAGAAGAAGTCTACAGATATCCGTTCTATCGAACCAAGACTTTTCCTAGTCTCCAACGAAGGAGGTTCCTTCCAAGTTGAAGAAATCTATAACTTTGGTCAAGAGGATCTTGACCATGAAGATATTATGATCCTTGATGCTTATGACACCCTCTTCATCTGGATGGGCAACGAAAGCAATGCCTTTGAACAGAAGAAAGGAATGGAGCTATGCTCATTTTACATTGAAATGTGTGTCAACAATGGCAGAGAGAATGAGCTAAACATTGAAGAGATCACCGAAGGAAATGAATCTGCTTTCTTCAAATCTTTCTTCCCAGATTGGGACGACACTAACTTCCAAAAGTCAGGTGACAAGCTCAAGGAGTTAAGCATGGAGGTTCTCAAAAATCTTGAAGAGGCTAAGGCAGAGACTTACTATACCTTCCCTGAATCTGACTTCGAAGGTTATGAGCATCCTAGAGACCATAAGTACACTAAAGAGCAGATTAATGAGAAGCCACCTCAGATCAGAAGAAACAGGTGTGAACTCTACCTTGAAGATGATGAATTCAACTCAATCTTTGGAATGACTAAGGAAGAGTTTTATAAAGAAAAGAACTGGAAGAGACTCAGAATGAAGAAAGAAAAAGACTTGTTCTAAATTTCACTGGGTTTCAATACTTATTATTAAAGTTGGGGTTTTGGGGTTTTGGGGTTTTGGGGTTTTGGGGTTTTGGGG